CTTCCAAAATGCGACTTTGTTTCCAAGGCCGCTCGGTGGGCAACTGACAAAGTCGCAAAGAAGAGTCATCAAGCCAAGTCGGAGACCATAATGCGGTCTGCTCGGGTTTGTAGTGAAATAAAAGACGTTCTATCCACTCAACGCGGTCCAAGGACTCAAGGCGTTCGTCCCGATCCAAGGCGGAGAAAAGCACCGGGTTTGAAGCATATAGAACCAAGAGCGTCACAAGCGCTAGAGAGGTCTGTCTGGACGGTTTTTAGGCATTGTGTAGCAACAGAGTCACCCCCTTCCAAAGGTCTGGGCTGGTGATCATGGGGAATTGGTTGACACTTAGTGGCTTTGAATTGAGTCAGACAAATATTTTCGTACCGGTGCCACTTTTGAACACTTCAAATACACCTCTATGATTCGTAAGAGAGGGTCTCGGTTTGCAAAGCGTTTGAGTGGTTGCTCTGAGGCTGCATGTGGAGGACGCACTTCCACTGCCCTTACTCGTCTCCATTTGCTTCGTGCTATGGATTCGAGATCTAGCTGCACCAGGTCCGATAGGAACTCCGTCGTCGGCGCAGCATTCCTACAATAGCCAAGAATCTCCCCGCTGATGTCCTCGAACAGCGCATGACCTGTTCCCTAACAGTCAGATGCACCCAAAAGGCCAACTTAAATGTTACTTACTGCTTCCCGAAACGAAATGTTTAAGGCACAACCTCGCAAAATATGCACCTTCAATTGGGATTTTGATATGAAACATTCCAGCACGACCCTCGTCAAATAGAAAGTCAGCTAATGACGCATGCAGGAGCTGTATACTGGAAGTAGGCCTAAGCTTCATCACAGATGCCAGTCGATCGACGATCTGCTGAGCGGAACCAGGGAATGGTAGCGCCAGAAACTCGTCGATCTTTTTAGGCGTCCAAATTGTGTCATGCTCCGGAAAGACTAAGAGAGCGAGAATGCGCAATGACAGATCTCTATCAGGCAGTGATGAAAGAATATGTGTGTAGAGCGCGTCAATCTGAGCGAATGGGGACTCATTGACAGTTGCGCCTGACACTCCGAGCATAATATCGAGGCGCTGAGCAGGATGAAATCTGGAGGGAAGATATATCTTGCAACAGTTGCCGCGTAGAGGAATTGACCGGATGATTTTTGAACGAGAGTTGTAATCACGTTGGCTGGGGGCCAATCATGAGGGAGGTAAAGGCGGAGAGGATGGTTTTCCTTGATTCCCTTGAAGGTTCCTTCGAGAAATCTCCGGATATCTTCCTGAGGTCGGTAATCTTTGTCTAGCGCTGTTTTCGTAACGGACTTGAAAGGAACCTGATTGAATGTCACAACGATGGATGTCTCGGGACGGCTCGAAATCAGGAATGCGATAGGAAATTCGCAATTGGGGGCGCTTTCCACGAGACAGGTTAGGATGCTTTGCTGGACCATGCTGGTGCTGCATTCGTCCAGACCGTCAATCAGGATGAGGTGGGGCCAAGACGCCGACTCCTCGCCAGCAGCTGAGAATGCTAGATTGAGAGGCGTGATGACTAGACTTTGAATTTGGGATGGGAGAGATTTCGAGAAAACTGCTGGATCGTGCTGGATCGCTTTCTCAATGTATGGACTTGCTTCGGGTATCGACTGTCCGAGTTGGTACGCGATGGTGGCAGCGAGGCGTTTCTCGTCGTTGCGCAGCGCCGCCGTACGCGAGAAGAAGAAACTTGCGACGAGCAGCCTCATTTTGGAGCACTTCTCGGCGATCTCCTGAAGGATCGCCGACTTCCCAGCTCCGACAGGACCGTAGACCCAATGCATGAAAGTTTCGCGATCGTGTTTGATGATCCAATCGAGCAGTTGCTTGAGAACAAGCTCTCGAGTGCCTGGGTAACACTTGGGCGGATCGAAACGTTCGCCAGAGTCATGCATGGCGCCGTCCGCCATCGCATAGTGCAATTGAAAGAACGCTAAGAGACGTCAATGGTATGAAAGCAGACTTCTAGAAGCGGCTTACTTACGTGGCGTACCCCGATGTTCAACGTGTGTGAATGTCCCACCCGTAACGAGAACGTTCTGGCTGTTGTCGAGCATATCTTTGGACGACCGGTGCGATGTTATCCGATCTATGACAGAACGGCTGGACGATTAGAACACTGTGAGTCCGTGAGAGAGGGTGCAGGACTCACGTCGTTTCCTGTGGTAGTGGAAGTGGAAGTGGAAGTGGAGATTCGGCGAGACATCGATGGCGGCACTGCCTCCCCAACGTTCCTCTCGTGGTGAGAACAAAGTGTCAAACTGTGTTGATGGGTGGACCCACAAAGCCTTCGGCAGCAAGGAGACTATGTGACGCAATTGGTAATATTCTTCTTTCTCTCTTTCGACAAGACCTCTGTTTGAAGTACCAAATACATGGCGCCGTGAGCTGTGAAAGGCACGACTTGATTGATCACAGCGGTCCCAAGTTACATGGCGCGAATCCTTGCCTGTCCTCTCTTATCACCCTACCCGACACTTCGACCTCGCGGAAACTCCCGAGCACCAAGACCAATCGCACTTCACCTCTTGAGGCTAATGGCGTACGCTATTGATCAAGGAAAGGACCACTCTAAAAGAAGTAGACAGGTCCCGAGCAATGCGACCGCAGGTTGAGAATGTCTTCATTCCACCTCTGTCGATGAGATGGGGGTCCGACGATAAGGACCGTTACATGGGCGGTACCACTGTGGCTGGATAGGGATCGCGAGACGAGATTCATAGGGGCGGTTGAAGGTGCGCTAGGTGGTCCGAGAAAATTCGAAGCCCATGTAAAACAGTGGCGGAGCAGCGTTATCCTAAGACGCGGAGAGGAAGGAAAAGATGCGAGACGAGGAGAGCCCGAAGGGTTGGTGCGGATAGTCGAATGCTGTACAACAATTCTGAAGTGGCCGAAGACGTTGATGGGTCTGGGCATATTGGAGCGTGGAGAGCGCCTATAGAACGTACTCCGATAAGCTTCAAATAATCAGACGTGCGGGTAGGAGAAGGACGTACGGACGTGTTGACGGAGATGATAATGATCAGGGGCCCGGAGCAGAAAAGAAGAGGTATCACGCTAGTTGGCTTGACCACGAAGAGGCTCGGCCGTCGTACTCGTTGAGGAGGGTATATTGAAGCGACCGCGGACAGGGCGGGCATTGACTCAAACAAGCAAATGTTCACTATACGCGCCTCGAAATTGTCAGCATCTGAAATGAAAGGTAGACAAGGGGGAGAAAACGTACAGAGGCTCTTCTCAAGGCTCCCAACCACTCTTAATCCAACATCTGCTCACGAAATCTCTGTAAATCCGCGCCATGGTCCGACCTCTGCGTTCCAGTCGTCGTCTTTCGGCGTTTTTTCTTCGCGATCTTGAGCCCCAGGACTGATATTGAAACAGAGACCAGTGCTGGAGAAGCGTACTCGTACAGGAGGGGGGATCGATAGGTGGCGAGATAAATATCAAAGTGAGAAAAGAGAGATATCGGGGCGTTTGCGGCGTTCTGGGTGTGGAAGATGCCTCCGAGGGGCCTCCGAGGGTCGTCTGGCGCGAAAGCAGATAGGTTTTTGAGAGAAGACGGCACGTTGTGAAAGAAGAATTCAACCTTGAGGTCGAGTGAAGCACCGCACGACACGATCTAGGAGAAGGGATGAGAGATGAGATAAGCAACAGTGACGAACGCAGGGCGAAAAAACACACCTATGAGCAGAGTTCATATCTAACGATTCGATCTTCCGGTAGAGTACACTCGCGATAGTGGGTTGAATTGATCGGCTTGACAGAGTGGCAGGTAGCGAGCATAGGATTGGGGACTGTCTTCAGCTTGACTGATTGGCACAGGGACGTCGTATGGGCCTGGGGTGCATAGTAGGGGAAGGACGATGAGAAGGGATAGTGTATGGGTGTGTGGAATGACAATGCGAGCGGTCGAATTTAGGAGATCTCGAGAGCACGAAGCTTGGGTAGTTCGTACGGTGTGGATGAGGGCGAGAAATGGAACCCATGACAAGCATCGAGGTGAGGGTAGGCTGGAGTAGTGGGTAATACTAGTAGCCTGCGGAAGTCCTTCAAATACATCATCGTGAGCTTCAGTTGCACTGTACTTTACTCGAGAGTTGAGAAGGAGCAAGTGGAGGCCTGCCGTGTTGGTGGATCGAGTCCCGGTCCGGTGTCCAGCGATGCCGGTTCAGTTTGCATTCGAACTCCGACAGAGGCCTCTCTCGTCGGCTTTCGTCGGCCTGCCGGTCAGAACCAAGGACCCGGTTGCCCAGGGCCCTCCCCTCCTTCCGGCCGTCCCTCTGTGCCTGCCGCCTCATCTTCGTGGACATGCAAACCTGCTGACCAACCCTCCTATCTCTGGCCTTTCAAGCCACTCTCAAGTCACCCCCAACACACATCTTCTTTTCGCACACCACCCGCCGAGCATCTCTCTCCTGGCGCACTTCCACATTATCCAATCGAGCCAAGTCGGACAAAATTCGAACTGGTCCAGCTCGCCTGTTTTATCAACGAGCCACAAGCCTACGATACTCCTCCGTTCTGAGGGTTCTCCTCAATGGACGCCTTGGGATTCCCTTCCAACATGCTCCTGGAAACTCATGCCTCCGGCCCCGTATCCAGCTCCGTACCTGATGCCCGAGCATCCTGCTCGAAAGCCTCCTTGAACCGCACGGCGAAGAAGAATATCACCCCGCCAACGCCATTCCTTTTCTCTCGGTACTCCTCCGTACCATTTGGACGCATCATCATTCTACCCCTCTCTGTTCTCTCTCCCCACTTGTTGCCCTGTTTTCAGCAACGCACCAACGATCATCGTTACTGTCCCTTCCTTGTCCTCCGCTGCCAACTGTGTACGCCTAGCCCACATGCATCCGAGTGTCAACATTACCTCTCGCACTCGCAGCCAACCTGCGGTTTCCAAGGAGGCAAACCTGGTGCGGCTTGTTCAGAGGCACAGGATCCAACTTTGATTCAACACCCGCCGTACGCCCATGCTCCTCCACACAACGAACATACGAGACGCCCCGGCCACCCAGCTGTCCATATAGAGTCGTACGGTACGACTCTGTATTCCAACTATGCACGTTGGCTGGACACCGCCAAAGAGGATATCGCGATGCGCCGTGGACAAAGTGTGGAAGGGCAGGCCGGTTCGAGATACGCCGAGTCGTCAAACGATTCTGTACTGCGGACGACTCGGGTCTGCTTCTTCAGTTGCACACAAGTGGTGTCCATCATCGTCCGTTGGACCGACCAGAATGGCAGGCTCTAAGTACCATCGCCGCCACTACTCTATTGATCCCGCCGCTCGTCTCCAGCGAGTGCGTACACAGCTCTATTATCCCAGCCTTGCGTAAAGGCCTTCCTCCCAACTCGACGTGTCTCCACGTTCATCTCCGCGGATATGCGCACTTTCTGCTTGCCTGGCCTTTCGACTCACTCTCAAGTCAACTCCGTCTGCTCCATGCCGCCCCTCCGAGCTGTCACCTCCGTCCATACTGTTCTTCCGATCTTAGCTCCTCCAACTGTTCCGCCAGACCCTCTATGAAACGTCGAAGATCGACACTCACCCTGCCCACATATGCATCAAGCCTCGCCTTTCCTCTCCGTGAGACGCTCAATCGATTCTTCTTTCCTATGCTCTCTGGCCCCGTCTATTCAACTCCCAGCGTCTCGACCATACAGCTCCAGAACTCGATCGATCATCTGATTCAACACGTCCATGGTCCTCCTCTCTCATGCATCCTTATTCTGCTCCTCCCCCCGCCTCCTCCGTTCTCCTTCCACCAGCTACCCTCCTCCGTCCTTTCCCTCTTTCCTTTTTACTAGCCGTCGGCTCGCCTCCATTCAGAGCCTTTCCTCAATGGCACAATTGCCGTCCAGTACAGCCTCGGACCCCATCCAGAGAATGCCACTCTTCACGCCTCCCACCTACGTCTCCTCTTGCACCCCACGCGATCCCATGCTCTGGACTCAAACCTGTGAACCGATTCGCAAAAACCTTCAACATGAAGAACATCCCTGCCGTTTCCGGAGACCGTCCTAAAGAGAGGCTTGAACTCTTCGGGGCCATCCGCTGGCCTCTTCGCTGAACCTCCTCGCTTGGAGGCCCTTGTAGGAGTTCGTGTACGTATCGTGTCGTTTTCTGCTCATAGGACATGCCATGTGACCTGGAAGCGACAAACATGTTCCTTCCCCCATGCGCCACTTGCTCAATTGGCTCGGTCTCAATTTCTTCCTCTCCTTGTGGCGCTCCTTTGGCCACCTTGCGTTCAAGTTTACGATCCCATAAACGATAGCGCTGGTTGTCGGCTTCTCGACCTCTGTCTTTGCACTCGTATCTAAGGTGACCTTCCTGCCTGAAGGCTCTAACACGCTAATATAGCCCTTCGTTGATACACAACGTAAGGTTGACGTCTGCTCGAAGTTCTCCGAAGCAAACCTCGCGTCGCACACATGTGAAGCATTTATGGTGCGCCACATGCAAAAGGTTGGTAACAGGAGCTCGAGCTCATATCCACCCAGTGCCGCTCGCCATTTACTTTCCACCGCCTTGTCGTCTCCTCACGTCAGCTCCGCCTGTCGCGCAAGTTGTGAATTAAGTCTGAAGGTTCTGTCGTCGCCCAAGCATATCATTGACAGCTGTCGCGTCAAACGTCGGTTGTTCCTGATTGGGACCTCACCAGTATTATAATCTTGTGTCTTTCTTTTTTTACCTTCCTCCTATCCTTTTTACTTTCCTTCGGACCACCTCCGCTTTAATCCCCAACGCGGAACCCTGTGAGGTGAGGTGCAACCCGGCATGGTCCATTTCTGAACACCGGGGTCCGAGACTACTCCAGCGCGACAGAAATACCCGGCTCAAAAACTTAGCTCAGTTGACTACAGGCACTTCTTCAAAAGAAAGAGACCACTCTACTATAATTTCTCCGTCAGTAGCACAGTTTGTGCTGAATGCATCTCCAAGCGACGAGCGCTTCGAGTAAGTATAGACAGGTGTCAATGGTTCCTTAGTATCGAAACCTGTGAAATCCTACAATATCCATGGAAGGGATCAAGTCATGAAACATGAGACCCAGTGAAAAGTCCGTCGAGAGGGATCAACAGAAATCCAGAGAATCAAGGAGCTTCGGTCAGACTTGATTCGTCTTGAGCTCTCTCGAAAATGTGAACCCATCATCGAGACAGATTGAGTCAGCTCGAAGCCCATACGAGCCATCAAAGTGCCGCAAAATTATGCTACCCGCTTGTCCAGGCATTCAATTTCTCTTGATATCCCTCATTCCAGCTTGTACACAGAGAATGGTTATATGTATATATGTATTCATTAGAATCTCGTAGTAATAATATACATGGCGGAGTGTGTGGTTCTATATAGACGTGATAGCCTCCGCCGCTCCCTCACATTCTCGTACCGTAACGGGCACATGGCGTCGAGCGAAAGGACGGGGAAGGGGGAGGATGAGCGAGAGACACCGTTACATTGTCATCAATACCTTTCAGAATGACCCATCCTGGGTCGGGTAGACATTCGCACCCTGGCAGACGGGCGGCTGCGACAAGCGTTAGCAACACAGTAAGACAAACATCGGGGGAACGCACCATCCTTGCTCGCACCATCGTTTGCAGGTGCTCACGGTCGTCTTTGACGGCAAGCCCTATCGTGGTATCGTGGTGTATGTTTGGTGTCGCCTCGCGACAGTGGCGCCAGGCCGCGTGCTGTGTGTTGCATATGGGAGTACGTCTTGTTCCTTTGGAGTTTCGCCGCGGAGTAGGGACTCAGCTTTTTGTGTGGCGGGTTTGTTGTGCAGGCTCTAGACTCGGATAGAGGTGAGCAATTTATCTCCAGACTCGTTAGTTGGTGGTTTGCTTACCACCTCTCCTTTTGCCCAGCCTCGTTCACCATTGCATCACCGGAACTGCGACGTTGGCACCCACGGTTTGCACTGTCAATGTCACCAGCACCTGGAGCATACAACTAGGAGTAGTGTAAGAATCAAGACATACCTTCCATTTTGCAAAACATTTTCTCTCCCCTGCCCTCTCTTTCGAAAATAGATTTGATGAACAACAAGGTGGGTGCTCGGACGATGGGTGCTCGGACGACGCGTTGCATGGATAATATTGATACGATGAGCAACCATGCTGAGCAGATCCGAGGCCAATCTACTGACCAAAGTGATCTTCACGAATCGACATCCCCTTCGGCAATTGGAAATGTGAATGTGGATGGGCTACGGCGAAATAGACCGTGATGAAGCCTGTCTACAGGAGAAAGGGCAGATGGGATGACCAGGAGTGGGTATTAGGCACGAGAAGACGTATACAGAGGGCTTCGATGCTATGTCACGACAAAGAGCACGGAAGGAGAGGGGGACTCGGAGGGAAGAAGCGGTGCGCATATCGTCGTTGTGGTTGAAAGTAAGTTGAAATCCCCCAAGTCCAACGTAGTCAAGTTCATCAATTTATGTAAGCAAGACCAAGGCAAAGAAACAACTTACAGCTTAAGCATCTTAGACGAAGACATTCAGCTTGCGATCTCCCTCAATTTCTCTCGATTCAATTAGGTCTCACAACTACTTGTATCCAACGCCCATCAAATTTCCATCAAATTTTGCTCCTCGCTCGACCAGCCTTGATTCGACTCGATTCATCAAACCTCACTTCGATCACACTCGATTCCTCTCGACGGACTTTTCACTGGGACTGAGGTGTAATTTTCTGACTCCTGAGATGTATTAGACGGTTCCATATAAGCCTAATCAGACGGAAGAGTCAAGTCATCTTCCCGTTAGATTTGGCTTGGAGAGGCAAACGTGCCTGAGCAGCACGCTCGTAAATTCCCGCATGCGATTCGCGTCCGAGTCAGCCAGGCTGCTCGTAGGCCGCTCGTGCTCGATTCGTAGGTATTTCATCTGCATTTTACTTCCACCTATACTACCTTACATCCAGAACCTCGTATCATCATTCTACGCTATCTCGCACCGTTGCTCGTCGCATCGCGGCATGATGATCGCGAGTCATGTGTGCTTTATCTTCACATGACTCGTCTTGGCCTACTTATACCTCGCCGTTTTCGTCTGCGCTCCGTCAGTCGTTCTCTGAGTGCCTCTGAGACATTCCACACTTCGAACGTCTTTCACTGAAAGATCATGGGCAATCCAAGCTTTCTCCGCCTTGTACCGGCCTCTTGCGCCACCGTCCCCATCGACTGGGCCAAAATCCCCGAGGCATCCAGAAAGTTCTTCTTCGAAAGCTGGTGCACCGACTGGTCTGACCCAGACAAAAAAAAACGCCCTCTCCCGGCGACCATTGACGACCTGGCGAAGATGTTCGACGAATCCAAGTTCTTCGGCTACATGCCACCCGAGCTCTGCACGCTCCTTCTCGACATCAGCGAGTTCGGGCTCGCCGCCGAGGCCAATACTCGGGCTAATGGTCACGCCCTTCAAGTCGCTCCGCGCTTCTACATGAAGTACCTGTACCATGTCTGGTTCGTCCTTTTCCTGCCCGGACGGAGAGATGGGATCATCGGGTGCAGCGCAAAGTTGCACGTAGCGATGCCGGGGGAAGAAGACGAGGCTGAGGTTGCGAATGACAAAGCCGTGGCGGAGGAATACGACCCGAGGCTCTGTGAGGAGGTCAAGCGGTGCGGAACGCTCAGGGCAAAATTCATGAAGAAGGCGGCTGGGTGGGAGGCTCTCACGCTGAAAAGGAATCTCGAGGAGACACAACTGGTCGAGGCAACCATGGAACTCCCGGATGACCACCCTGTGTATAGGGCTCTGGTGCAGAATGTCATGAGCTCGTTGAGGCCGATGCGCTGAGGTATAGTTTATTATTGCAGACGCAGTCCATCTCGGTTATTACTTACTTGAAAAACTAGTAGTTCACTCTGATTTTCGAATCTATCTTTCTATTTTCTGTTTCCCTACTGCCGAAATTAGATCGCCTTGAGTGTGCTTATTACTGCGCCGAGAACACGACTCGGAACGGGTCAATTCCTTGAACTTGAACATACGATATTAGGTTTTGCCATCATGTATTGGATGTAGAGGAGTGCTTACCTGACAAAAGCAGTATTGCCAGAGCCTCCGGTGCGTCGATAACGTAATCGGGTTCTGAGGTGACGAACTTAGGTGAAGTCGGGGATCCGCTGATGAGCTGGACCGCTCCCTGACCCCGGTAAATCCCTTTTTTTTCGACTTTCGTCATCGCATTCCCGTCGTTCCCTCGATCCCCGACACCTTTCCCATTGAGCCATATGATCCCTCGACGCACCCGGAGACCCTCAGCCAGAACATCAGCAAGCCCCGTGATCGGCCCACATGGTTCCAGTCGAAGCGAAGCCTCGACGCGCCACCCTTGCCATATCAAGACCATCAGCGCAGTCGTCCGTTGCGTCCCCTCGTCATTTGATTATTTTTTATCATTCTTATTTATTTCTGTGGAAGATTTTCTCTTATTCTTTATTCCTGCAGCCCGGTTCGGAGAAATACCTCACCGGTGCTCCTGTTTTTTGTAGATACAAAATGTCTGTACTTACTCTTTTCCCCAATAACATACAGTTTTCATCTCATTTGCCCACTCGGGGCACTCGTACCTCGCCCTCGTCTCTCGTACGCCTTCTCTCGTCGCTCTCAGCCTCGTTTCGACCTGCCATTTCGACCCACCGTTGCCCCGTCTTTCGATCTCGCCGCCATCGCCATTCCGATCCCACGCTTAGCGCCCACCGTCGTCCCCCGTCTTCGAGTCGCGCGCGCCCACTGGTTAGAGCCGCACAACCGGGAACCTGTCCTCGCACCTCAGAGCCACTCATTGCGGTGTTTTGGGTGTGTGTTAGTCATTCCTTATTCGCACGATCACCCCACCGTAGGCACATCACCGCATAACCATGGCCGGCCAGGTGAGACGGTAGATGAAATGAGTGGGTGCCCGACTGTCCTGTGCCGGAGGAGGGCTCTTGGTCCGACGAACCATGTTGCGGGAAAAAGTACGGCGTGTATACACCTGCGCTTGTACCGTCGAACATCAGCCACCCGTAACACCCACATTGTGACGGAAGTCTCCATCTAAACGTCCAGCAGTTGCCCTTTGTCCGTCAGGCAGGCGAGGAATCGCTGAGAGCAGTTTCTTCTTCGCCCGACACTGCGCAACCACCAGGAATCCCTCTGCCGTTCCGCTCTGCAACAACCCGAGTTACCGACCAGCAGATTGAGCACTCTGGATACTGACAATCGGGCAAAGGTCGATACCCATCTTCTCGGTTGCGTTGTCTGCCTGCGACAAGGCAGAAGAAGCGGGTCGAAATTGCGTTGTTGGATTGAGATGAGAGGTAGTGGTGGATCTTCTGACTCGAAGGGTCAAGAGGTGTCGCCGCAATCGGGATATGTAAGGAGGTTGTGTTGGGCAATCTGTATGGAGATGCTGGGAAATTTGAGGAATGAACGCCGATCGTGGATATCTCTGGCGAAATATCTTCTGCGATGGAAATGAAACTAGATATTTTGCGGGTCCAGGGCCCGAGAATGGCTTTCGTTGGATAGAGCCGAGGCTCCGAGTTCGCTGGTACGTTCGCGAGCTCAGCACCCGTCAATCATGGGCGTATGAGTGAAAGGTGTCTCAGAGTCATGAACTTTCCAAGGGGGACAAAGCCACGTCCGGCGATGGCGACCCTCGGTGCAATGGGCGGGTCTTCCAAGCTGAGGTACCTTGATCTCGTTCTCCCACCTCCACCTCTTCCTCCTAACGTCACTAGTTCTTTGTCACTTCCCTCGCCGAGTCCTCCGCCGCGTCCCAAGCACTTTTTGTGTTATAACGCGAGTACACTCCTCATATGTTGCCTGTGCGGGGACGGGTCAGTGAATAAAATAAGGTGCAGAGTCTTGATGCATTCTATCTTGAACCGCGGGTTAAGATGGGATTTGGAAGTCGCAAATTTGAGAACAGTACCTCTATCGATAGGACGAGGATATAAACACACACAGAGGCCCTCAAGGCCGACGAGACGTCCATTGGATCGATAACCCCGGTGCTGCGATAATGGCGCGTGCTGAAGATTTGGCGTCGGTTGAAGGTGTGGCAGGTACCAGTCAAATTAGGAAGGTCGTTATCGTAGGCAGACACTTGGACGTTAAATCTTGAACGTGTTCCGCAGGGCAAACGTCGGATCCCAAGACAGTTACGAGCTGGATTTGTGATCCGAACGGCGAAGAAGAACAAGGAGCCTTGCCAGAAGGCACGGGGAGGTCCGATTGTTATGTACGTCGAGAACGGGGTCTACGGACAGGTTGACCGTGAGCTAGTCCTTCATCTTGACCGAGAGGAAATCAAACATACCGGCAGGTCTTTAACCACCCGTCTACCCATCGTCCCAACACAGAACGTGGGGTACACATAGTCGTATGGGAGCTCACGTTGAAGCGGGACGGTGTCAACATTCTCGTAGCTGATGAAGGGATCCGTGGTACTACGACGTCGCCTGTGGTAGTCAATGTCGTGGAGCCTAGACAGTTGTAATGTTGTCGTTCTCGGAGGCTCAACCAGGAGCTACTGGTGTTTCTCGAAGAGGCTGCAGGTGGGAGGCAGTGTGACTCGGTCCGTCGATTGCCGGTAAAACTCGTTCAAACTCCGATCGGCGATGCTCCGAGTCCTCCCTCCGTTTCCGCTTGTCCACTTCAACAACACCACCGTTGCTCTTCGCTCTTCGCTCTTTCTCTGTCGGAGATGGTCCTCCTTGTAGAAACGAGACACTTTCGCGCTAAGGGAATGCTAGTTTATATGTACGTCTCGTCCAAAATCTCGGTGGGGAAGCTCGAGCTAACGAACATCTACAGTTACGTAGTTCTACTAGTACAAGCAATCAAAGTGAATTCTTGTTCATACCTCTCGTGGAGCCTCGGACGAATCGAGATAGGAGTTCACTTGAATGGCAATGTCATTAAGTATGGGACATGTCGGATAAGAAGGATTCATACCATCAATGGCTACGGCTTTTGTGGATTTCGCAGACTGCTCCTCACAGGGGATGCTACTAGACGATAGCACCAGGCGTGTACACGATTAACAGTTTCTGGCAGCTTCCACGTGCACTGATGTCAGATTTGAACAGCCTCGTCGCCGCCTCGATGCTCGAGTTGTGGTTGTGCCAGCAACTCCTTCCACTGCACGATCTCCCTGCACGCTGGGACAACAACAAGGTGAGTGCTACCACGTCAATCGTGTTTCTGATTTCAGTCTTGTGCTAAGAATAAGGCTTCAGAAATCGGGCCCAGCTGTCTTCTCCAGGGTATCCGTTGAGCATCATGGATCTATTCAGAGACAGTCAGAACAACACCTTGAAAGACAGCATAATCATTGCCAGCCAATTCGGATATCGCGGTAGTTCAGGCAAGCCTTCGTTTACTGCTGTTGTTTTTCGCACTGCTGATGTGCCAGTACTCAAGTAGCTTTCGACCAGTTCCATGCCCAAATCGCGGAGGGTGCAATGCACGACTCTGGCGAGCGCTTCGACCCACCCAAATGCTACCCGGGCACTCGGGAGGTTGTCCTCAAGCAGCTCCTCGACTGGATCATCGCGCACGATCGCGAATCCTTCATGCACTGGCTCCACGGACCAGCAGGTGCTGGCAAGTCCGCAATTCTCCAGGAGATCGCAGAAAGATGTGCACAAATGAAGCTCCTCATCGCAAGTTTCTTCTTCTCCCGGACAGCTGCATTGCGGAACAATAAGAAGCGACTCGTTGCCACTCTGGCTTATCAGCTTGCACAGTCGGTACCCGAAACACGACCTTACATCGAGAAGGCGATCGGGCACGATCCAGCTATTTTCTCGAAACGACTCCAATCCCAGTTTCAAGCCCTGATCGTCGAGCCTCTCAGCCAAGCTGCCTCGACTGCTGGCGAGGAGTGGGCATGTTGGCCCCACCTCATCCTCATTGACGGTCTCGACA